CACCTACAACATCAGAAGGCATGGCTACTTAGAAAGAAAGGAGTTCCTCTAATGGTTCTCCTAGTACTAACAGTGCAGATCTACTGACACCCCCCTACAGTGGGAGGCCCAGGACTAAGCACAGCGGCACGGCCTACAAGTGCATACACCGGGAATCGAAACCGATACCGCTCTGATACCATGTCAGAATCTCAACCACTAGACCATTGGGATAAAAGGGATTTTTTCCAGTAGCGGGTCAGTGCGCCCATAACCCCCCAGACGAATGCACCTGTAACCCTCTCCAGGATCAATCGGGCATCCACAGTGCAGATCTACTGACAAATCCCACTCCACCTCCTGCATCCGGCCTACAAACAAAGGAGGGTACGGCAACAAGACCAAGAGCAACGTCTACTGAGACTCCTGGAAATAAACTTGCAGGCTTCGATCAGAGCATGATGGAGAAGTTCTTCTCCTTCATGTCCTTCTACGAGCAACACCAACAGTCGGCACCTGCGCAGCCGAACAACATCAACAACAACAACGATGTGACTCCAATGAGCCTTGATGGTTCATCATACGCGCGCAGAAATCAACAGCAGCAGCCTACCTTTGCACCATACGAGCCACAACGCGGCTCCATTAGCTTCGCACCACACCCACAGCCTTCACCTGGACAAAAGAAGACGCTAGACGCGCTTCAAGTTCAGTCGGAGTTCAAGCACGTCTCAAAACTGCAGACGTCACGACCCTTCGACGGAAAGGACTTCTTGATAAGAAACGAGGAATCGATGCATTGAGCAGAATGAGGAGTACAAGTAGTAAACTCTAAAGTGTTGTACCCCATATGAACTGCCCCACTACAGCCTACACAAACTATAGCATATATGCCTGACACACCCCCATAGGCAAAATGGAGGAGAATAAGGGGTCACAAGACCAGTCAAACAAAGCAAAGCAAAGCAAGCTCAGGGTGGATCACATTGTCACCACACAGTACGAGCACAAGAGCAAGGCCACAAGGACAGTTCACATGCAAGATCATATATATAAAGGTAAACAAGCAAGTACAGGTATCAAGAGAGTACAGTACAAACAAGGTCAAGATGTGAGCAAGTGAGGCCAAATAGGCACAAGACCTAGCATAACACAAAAGCGCCGATGATCACAAGGCGGAAGGGCCTTGGTCAAGATATTTGCAGTGTTGGCCTCAAAGGCCACGTAGGTGAGGCGGAGCTGACCACGCTGCTGCAGCTCACGAGCCAGGAAGTAGCAAAGAGCAATGTGCTTTGTTCTGTGCTCCAGTCTGTGCTCCCGACACAAGGCCAGCATGGCCTTGTTGTCTACGTACAGAACTGGAGGAGAACGAGGCGGCTCTCCTAGGTCATTCAGTAGGTAGGTGAGCCAGCGTAGCTCCTGTGCAGCCATGGCCCCCGCGTAGATCTCAGCCTCACAGCTGGAGGAGAGAACATAAGACTAGATCTCAACCCTGTGACGACCGCTGTGCCGGCTGGTTGTCAGCCCAAGAAGCGTCAGCGTGACCTGTGAGGACCACTCGACGTCGCCCTCCAAGCACTAGCCCCATGCCTGACGTACTGCACAAGTAGCGCAACACCCTCTTCGCTGCAGCCATGTGCTGTGGTCGGTGTCTCCCAGGAGAAACATAGCGTGCAAAGATGCTAAGAGGGTATGCAAGGTCAGGTCGTCTACAGGTCATCAGGTAGATGAGGCAGCCAACAAGCTCTGGGTACGGGCCACTCGGCTCTACGGACTCATCCAAAGGCAGAGCTGAGAGCGAGTGGCTAGTAGACAGAGGAGTGGCCTGAGGCGAGGAGTACGTGAAGTCGAAGCGCTGAAGGACCTGCTGCACCATGTGTGACTGAGTCAGGGTAATGGTGCGCTGTGCTCTGTCCCGGGTGATCTGCAAGCCAAGGTAGCTGCGCAGTTCACCCAGGTCTGTGCACGTGTGTCTCTTCTGCAGCTTGGACTTCACGTGGGGGAGAACAGCAGTGTAAGCAGTGGCAAAGACCAAGTCGTCGACGTACACGAGGATGTAGAACGGCGGCAAAGAGGTGTCAGTGCGCAGAAACAGCGTCGGGTTGGCTGTAGAAGGAGCAAACCCAAGAGTCGCAAGTGTAGTCCTCGATGTGTCGTGCCACTCATAGGGCGCCTGGCGGAGACCGTAGACTAGCCGCCGGAGGGTCCACTGGGTACCAGGAGCAAACGACCCAGTGAAGCCAGGTGGGCGGCGCAGCCAGATCTCTTAGTGCAAGCTGCCCTTCAGGAAAGTAGTGCTGAAGTCAAGAGAGTGAAGCTCGTAGTCGCGCTGAGCGGCTATGTGCAGCAGCACCCGAAGAGTGGTCATCTTCGGGGTGGGAGAGAAGGTCTGAAAGTAGTCAACTCCCTGCCGCTGACTGAAGCAACGAGCCACGTAACGCGCCTTGAAGGTAGGCGGAGAACCCGGCGGCCGCTTCACCCCAAAGATCCACATGCCACTGACAATGTTCGCCCCAGGTGGGGGAACCTCGTCGACGTAGGTGCTTGTGGACTTCCAGGAAGCCATCTCTGCGTCCATGGCTGACTGCCACCGAGAGGAGTAGGGACCCTCGATCGCCTCAGCGTACGATCGAGGAGTCGGGATGTCTGGTGCATCTGGGTCTCCCTTAGGGGCAATCAGCGTGGACACGAGATGGGGCAAAGCAGCCGCAAAGCACTGGAACTCCTCCTGCCTCTCCTCAAGGACGTCCGTGCTAAGAGCACACTCACCCCCGACGGACGGAGGACAGACAGACTCAGACTCAGCAACTAGGCTGGCAGCGTATTCTAGACGACAACGAGCAGCAAAGTCGACAAGTCGACCCAATGAAGCCAGATCTCCTCGTGCGGGCTGCCCTGCAGGAAAGCTGTGCTGAAGTCAAGAGAGTGAAGCTCGTAGTCGCGCTGAGCGGCTATGTGCAGGAGCACCCGAAGAGTGGTCATCTCCGGGGTGGGAGAGAAGGTCTGAAAGTAGTCAACTCCCTGCCGCTGACTGAAGCCTCGAGCCACGTAATGCGCCTTCAAGACATGCAGAGAACCCGGCGGCCGCTTCACCCTGAAAATCCACATGCCACCGACGATTTTCGCCCCAGGTGGGGGAACCTCGTCGACGTAGGTGCCTGTGGACTTCCAGGAAGCCATCTCTGCATCCATGGGTGACTGCCACTGAGAGGAGTAGGGATCCTTGATCGCCTCAGCGTATGATCGAGCAGTCGGGATGTCTAGTGCATCTTGGTCTCCCTCAAGGGCAATCAGCGTGGACACGAGATGAGGCAAAGCAGCAGCAAAACACGGGAACTCCTCCTGCCTTTCCTCAAGGACGTCCGTGCTAAGAGCACACTTACCCCCGACTGACGGAGGACAGACAGACTCAGACTCAGCAACAAGACTAGCAGCGTAGTCTAGACGACAACGAGCAGCAAAGTCGACAAGCTCAGCAACCAAGGGAGACGCAGCAATGGACTCAAAGGAAGGGTCAGTGACAACAGTAGCGAGGAGACGCGTGACAGTAGGACTGGTAGCACGAAGAGAGTCCGACTCCGGGTCAGCAAGAACAGGAAGAGAGGACTCTGGAGGAGACGGCAACGGGATACGTAGAGGAGCAGTGGAAGGACGCAGTGCCATCTGGTGTGTGCCTGGGACCGCAGGAGGACGCGGACGCGAAGCATGACTACTAGTGCGAGCAGCACGAATAGGCGACGCAGGACGAGACGCAGGCTCACGACGCTCAGCAAGACCTCCTGTAGGACCAGTGTAGGGAGAAGGAGCAAGAAGAGGGGAGGCGGGCTGTATTTGTGACTGCGAGCGGACGGGCACTGGACACTCTAAGGGAGGAGCAGGACCAGTAGAGGGCGGGAGACCAAGAACCTGCTCAAGGAGCGGAACGAAGTACGACCTCGGCCGCGTAGCGCCTCCAGAACCAGCAGGGATGGCACCAGTACCCCGAGCAGCAGCACCAGCGCCAGCCGCACCTCCAGCTCCAACAGCGTCAGCTTCAGCACCCTCAGAAGGACCAGCGCCAGCAGAAACACCAGCGCCAACACCCCCAATAGCTTTAGCTCCAGCAACTCCAGTAGTACCAGCTCCAGCAGGACCGACAACTCAAGCACCGCAAGCAGCTCCGGCAGGACCAACTCCAGCAGCTCTAGACGCACCCCCAGTCCCAGCAGCTCCAGTACCGCCAGTGCGAGCACCTCTGGAACCATCACCAACAGTAGTGCCTCCAACTCCAGCAGCACGACTCCAGCGCCGGGCAAACCACTCGCGCAGCTCATGCGGAGAGAGTGGCTCCCGCCTCAACGAAGCACCGCCGGCGGCCACACGAGCAGACCCAGCGCCCCCAACCTCCGCACCCCCAGGCTCCGCACCCCCAAGCTCCGCACCCCCAGACTCAGCACCCCCAGGCTCAGCACCCCCAGTCTCAGCAAACCCAGGCTCAGCACCCCCAGACTCAGCACCTGCAGGCTCATCACCTCTAGCAGCACCAGAGTCAACAGCTACCTCGACAAGCTCGACATCCTCTACCTGGGACACACCTCACAGGGCAGGACTCTGAGGGGGGAGGGGGTCTACCGGGGGAGGATCTGGCACAAGAAAGAGCGGCGGCGGGGGAAGGGGCGCAGCGCGGTAGGGGAAGAGACGGTAGTAAGGCACCGACTCGTCAAAGGTGACGTCCTGGGAGGACAGAACACGGCGCGAGTTGGGGTGGTAGAACTGCCACCCTGCCGGTCAGGGGGGAAGCCGAGGAAGACGCAGGGAACAGCACCTGGGGCAGTAGACGCACAAGCACCTGGGGCAGCAGACGCACTAGCACCGAGAGCAGCAGCCTCACCAGCACCTAGAGCAGTGGCCTTAATGCCCGGGTCAGGCGGTACACACAGGAAATAGTCACCCTCAACACTAGTAGTCACAGAATACATGGCAGCAAGGATAGCATCATAGTCAAGATCAAAGATGGCAACCCCCGCCCTAGACAGATCTCCCTAGCGAGGGATCTCTGACGCCTCAGGGAACTGGCGACGCCACGCGTCCGTCAGTCGACCAAAGCAGCGCTTGGTGGAGTGCGGGCCCCCGCACTGCTCACCATCTCGGTCGCCGGAACGGAGGACGTAAGTGCAGTGCCTAGTAACCCCACCGCGCTGACGCGCAGCGTACCACTCACGAAGCTGCTGAGGGGACAGGGTCTCCTGACTGCGCTGCTGCTGTTGGCGCGGACCACCACCGGAGCCACTCCTCTGCGAAGAGCCGCGACCAGGTCCACTGCTGCCGCCGCCGCCTCCGCCGCCTCCGCCACCTCCGCCGCCTCCACCACTTCCGCCGCCTCCGCTACCTCCGCCACCGCCACCGCCTCCTCCGCCACCACTTCTGCCACCGACACCTCCACCCCCGCCACCACTCCCACTCCCACCACCACCCCCACCCCCTCCACTGCCTCCACCACCACCTCCACCGCCCCCGCCAGCCCCTCCAGCGCCCTTGCTTCCCTTGCCCTTGCCGGTGCGGCGTTTCCCGCTAGGGGCAGACGCGGCGCCGACCGACTCCAAACCAACGAGGTTGGCCGCAGCAGCAGAAGCAACAGAGGGCAAGAGGGGGGAGGGGGAACACCCCTCAAAGACGGGGGTGCGAGGGTCACCACGAGAGGCTCCTACAGCGACTATGCTCTTCTCTGCTGCTAGGAGGGCCTTCTCGAGGAGGTCAACGGTGAGAGTGGTGGGGCAAACTGAGAGGAAGTGGTCCCTGACTATGCGAAGAGAGTCAGGGAGCCGGGTGACTATGTAGTAGAGGGTGATGTACATGGAGGGGGGGGGTTCTTGGCGCAGAACTCAGCAGGAAGCGCAGCGCGGTAATGAGTGTCACTAGTGCGGAGGTGCGTAATGAGGTCAGCGACTGTGGGAAAGGCAGCAAGGTCAGGGAAGAGGTACGGTAGCATGAGGCGGCTCAGTGCAGCAGTGGCAGGGGAAGAGTAGCGTGCAACTACAGCGTCGTACAAGGTCTGAGCACTCTTGTACTGGCTAAAGTGTGCACGCTCAGTGGTCGGTAAGTGGCGGCGCACAGCAAGGCGAGCAGCAGCATCACGTGTGATGGCTCAACACTAGTAGACACAGAATATATGGCAGCAAGAATAGCATCATAGTCAAGATCAAAGATGGCAACCCCCGCCCTAGACAGATCTCCCCAGCGAGGGATCTCTGACGCCTCAGAGAACTGGCAACGCCACGGGTTCGTCAGGCGACCGAAGTAGCGCTGGGTGGAGTGCGGGCCCCCGCACTGCTCACCAGCTCGGTCGCCGGTACGGAGGACGTAAGTGCAGGGACCAGTACCCCCACCGCGCTGACGCGCAGCATACCACTCACGAAGCTGCTGAGGGGACAGGGTCACACCATTCCGCTAGTGCTGGCGCGGACCACCACCTGAGCCACTCCTCTGCGCAGAGTCGCGACCCTCTCCACCACCGCCGCCGCCGCCGCCTCCGCCGCCTCCTCCACCTCCGCCTCCTCCGCCACCTCCGCCGCCTGGGCTCCCTCCGCCACCACCGCCGCCTCCTCCACCTCCACTGCTGCCGCCGCCGCCGCCACCCCCGCCACCACTCCCACCACCACCCCCACTCCCTCCACGGCCTCCACCACCACCTCCACCGCCCCCGCCAGCCCCTCCAGCGCCCTTGCTTCCCTTGCCCTTGCCGGTGCGGCGTCTCCCGCTAGGGGCAGACGCAGCGGTGACCGACTCGAAACCAACGAGGTCGGCCGCAGCAGCAGAAGCAACAGAGGGCAAGAGGGGGGAGGGGGAACACCCCTCAAAGATGGGGGTGCAAGGGTCACCACGAGAGGCTCCTACAGCGACTATGCTCTTCTCTGCTGCTAGGAGGCCCTTCTCGAGGAGGTCAATGGTGAAAGTGGTGGGGCAAACTGAGAGGAAGTGGTCCTTAACTACGCGGAGAGAGTCAGGGAGCCGGGTGACTATGTAGTAGAGGGTGATGTACATGGAGGGGGGGGTTCTTGGCGCAGAACGCAGCAAGAAGCGCAGCGCGGTAGCGAGTGTCACTAGTGTGGAGGTGCGTAATGAGGTCAGCGACTGTGGGAAAGGCAGCAAGGTCAGAGAAGAGGTACGGTAGCATGAGGCGGCTCAGTGCAGCAGTGGCAGGGGAAGAGTAGCGTGCAACTACAGTGTCGTACAAGGTCTGAGCACTCTTGTACTGGCTTAAGTGTGCACGCTCAGTGGTCGGTAAGTGGCGACGCACAGCAAGACGAGCAGCAGCATCGCGTGTCGCCCAATGTGAGCGAACAGTGCTGTCAGTAGTAGCAGGCGGGGCAGGGGAGGCACCACAAGTGAGGTCAAACAGAGAGAGGCCGTCTGCCCTAGCACACTGGAGGAACAGCTAAAGGTCATCAACCCAAACCTCAAAGTCAACGGCACGGCCATGAGCATCAAAAGTAAGGACACTGGGGGTAGCCATGACTGCAGTGGCCTAGTAGGGAGTGAGCTCACCAGTAGGAACAGCAGCGGATCGACAGTAGGGCGGCTCGGCGGCTCGGCGGCTGGGTGGCTCGGCTGCTGGGCGGCTCGACTGCTGTGCGGCTCGGCGGCTCTGCTGGTGGGCGGCTCGGCTGCTCGGCGGCTCAGCTGCTGGGCGGCTCGGCTATTGGGCGGCTCAGCTCCTTGGATGGTGGGCGGCTGGGCTGCTGGGCGGCTCGGCTGCAGGGCGGCTCGGCTGCTCGGCGGCTTGGCTGCTGGGCTGCTCGGCGGCTCGGTCGTTGGGCGGCTGAGCGGTGACAGGGCCGGTGGAGGCGGCGACGTGGCTGCTCGGGGAGGGTGACGGGGCCACAGGTGGTGGCGAGGCCGCAAGTGGCGGCTGCGTGGCCGCAGTTGGCGGCGACGGGGCCGCAGGTGGTGGAGACGGGGCCGCAGGTGGCGGCGACGGGGCCGCAGAGGGGCCGCAAGGGGCCGCAACGGGGCCGCAGAGGGGCCGCAAGGGGCCTAGACGGGGCTGTAGAGGGGGCCGCACGGGGTCTAGACAGGGCCGTAGAGGGGTCGCAAGAGGCCTAGACGGGGCGGCGACGAGGCCGTAAGGGGCCTAGACGGGGCGGTGACGAGGCCGTAAGGTGCCGTAAGGGCGCCGCGAGGGGAGCCGACGGGCGTCGCGGGGGGGGCGTAAGGGGCCGTAAGGGCGGCGCGAGGGGCCGTAGAGGGCGGCGCGAGGGGCTGTAAAGGGCAGCGCGAGGGGCCGTAAGGGCGGCGTAAGGGGCCGTGAGAGGGGCCGCTAAAGGCGACGCGAAGGGGCCGTGAGAGGGCGCGACGGTAGGGAGGGCACACAGAGCGCGACTCGGGCAGGAGCGAAGCGCGCTCCGGGTAGGAAAAAAAATTATCGTGGTGGGCCCTAGGAATCGTTCCCACTAGGGAACCTGCTCGATACCATGATAAGAAACGAGGAATGGATGCATTGAGCAGAATGAGGAGTACAAGTAGTAAACCCCAAAGTGTTGTACCCCATATGAACTGCCCCACTACAGCCTACACAGACTATAGCATATATGCCTGACACTTCTTCACCTGGTCGTTCGAGTTCGAATTAATGATGGAAGGCACGCAAATTCTTGGCTTCTTCGACGGATCCCTGCCATACCCAACACACGGCACATAGTATAATAAATAGCAGTACACGTATTAGTCAATGATGGTGTACACGATTCTAATGAGAAACATCACTCCGAATCAGCAGCAGAATATACGGTCTTACCGGGGATACGGCAACTCTGCCGAGCTCGCATACAATCATTTGAAGAGCCTGTATCAAGCAACAGACAGCATAAACCAGAGTCGGTTAATGGCGCATTTAACAACAGTGGAAATGAAACCAGACGAAAAAGGGATGGCATTTATCAGTCGCTGTCGCGAGTTGTGTGACAAGCTCCTTCGATGCGGAGGAACAATATCTGAAGACGCTTTCGTGACGGTCATCATCGCGGGACTTAGTCTTCATTGGCGCTCCACTCGAGCTATTCTTCGATCCCACGGAAGAATCTCCGAAGCAGCACTTTGCGCCAAAATTCATGCCGAGCAGCAAGACATGGACCTACAAGAAGAAAGACACAAGAGGAAGACGTTAACATCTGAGTTCGCCTTTCACACTCAGCAGCGCCACAACAACAACAACAACCGACAACAACCGAAGCCAGGACCTCTGTTCTGTCACATCTGCAAGATGTCAGGACACCCTTGCATGCACTGCCCCAACCAACAACAGTCAATAACAACGCAGCGACAGCTTCGACCCTCGAGCAGTCAGGTCACTTCTACACAAGTGTACCCTACCATTCAAGTACAAGCCTCAACAACATCGACGGGACAACCTGCGCAAGGAGCAAGAAACATTTTCAGTTGCATGGCAAGACTAACCGACTCCTGCATCACCGAGTCACCGCCGCATTACTCACCGGAAGAGCAATTCGAAAACAGTACACATCGCCGCGAGTCACTTTAACTGAATCCGACGTATGCAACCATCGCCCAAAGCGAGCCATCTGGAAAGGACACTTGGTTCTTGGTTACTTGCTGTGGGCAACATATGTGCTCCTCGGGTTGCTTCGTTCAACGGGAATATCAACTCCAACGCGAAGTCGTCATCACCATCCCCAACAATCAGATACTGCGTACACGACGACAAGGCGTGGTTCAACTTCAGTCACGGGAAACAACGTCATACTGCAGAAGTCAAAGGTCTTAATAGCAGAAGGACTCGGCTACAACTTACTGAGCGTCAGTCAGTTAATGGCGAAGGGGATACACCTCGAAGCAAATAGCACCACCCAAGATTTCAAGCTGTACCACGGGAGAGGAGGTCTCTATATCGGCAAAGCAGTCCTGAAGAACATCGTCTTCGTCCTTGACTTCGTTCCAGATCTCGGCATCGCTGACAGTGATGGGATCGTTTCCTTCACCCCTTGGACACATCCACCGGATCTTGACCCAGACTTCAGTCCTGGAGGCTTCTGGTACTCGGAAACCATCCCTGAAGCAGAAAGAACAAGAGCGTTAGCGATAATTCAACAGCCGGCAGAGACAACATCGGCAGCAGCAGAGACAACATCGGCAGCAGCAGAGACAAAATCGGCAGCAGCAGAGACAACAACGGCAGCAGCAGAGACAACGGTAACAGTAGTGGCAACATCAACACCAATCCCCGGTCCTTCAACGACACCGATCTTCGTTGACGACACACCACCGACACCTGTGCAGCAGCTAAACCTGGCACCACGAGAAGTTCATCGAAGCGCCAACTTCACCGCCAGCTTCTATTCCAACTCCGATATGTATCGGCGCTCACCCGGACATCGCGCCACTGAAGCAATGTGGCACACAAGAATGGGACACCCAAGCAACACAGTGTTAAACAACACGATACAAGCAGGCATGCTCGACAAAGATTCATTACTTCTAACCGTCAGCAGAGAACTCCAGCGAGTCCGTGGAACGTGTTTCACCTGTCTAGAAGCCGACTTACCGCACCAACCATTCGTCTCGCATCACAATCCAAGCGCACGTGCATACGCACCTCTGGAAAAGGTGTACAGCGACATACTGCACAATCGCGAACCCGGACATAATGCATACAACTACACCATCACGTTCATCGATGCAGCCACACGCTACGTTTGGCACCTCAACCTCCCAAGCAAGGACATGGCCTTCGAAGCCTTCGTCGCTTGGCTCCTAGTAGCAGAACGAGAATCGGGCGTGAAGCTAAAAAGCTTCCAGTCCAATGGAGGAGGAGAATACACCTCACAGAGGTTCAAGCAGAACCCTGGCAGAAAGAGGGATCAAAAGGCTCATCTCTCTTCCCTACGCTCACCAGCAACAAGGCGTAGCAGAAAGGATGAACAAGACTCTCCAGAACACCATGTGCAAGCTGCTACGAAGCATGCGACTGCCCAACCACCAGTGGCCCGAAGCAATGGACCACGCTGTCATGCTGCACAACTTGCTCTTGTCATCATCGCTCCCGAACAACGCATCACCGCATCTGCTGTGGACAGGAAAACTGGGCAGCACAAAAATGTTACGAATTTTCGGCTGATGGTACAGTACCGACCCCCATCTACACGAGCCGGTTGATTCTCCCAACGCGCACAGTGGGGACTACACCTAGGCATCAAAAAGCATTACAACGCATGGAAGATTTTTGACGTTGAGACAAAGGAAACAGTCGTAGTACGTGATGTCATCTTCTACGAGAACCTCACCCTCCAGACATACCTTGCCCACATGGACGAGAACAACCCAGACCTCTCGGGCGGATTTCTTGGGATTCGAGCCTTCGCTTCGGTAGAAGATGAAGCTGAGTGGGATGAGCAGAACGTGGAAGGAGCTTTGGAAGAAGCTGGACCTCTTCCCTACTGTTCAGTTGATGTCCCAATGGACGACGAAAACCCGCACGATAGAATCAACGCCAAAGCTTACTACCACTTCGCCGACAATGGTTACGTTATACCTGCAAAAGTCAACACCAACGAAGCAGAATGCGTAGGACCAAATTTCAATCCTACACCAGAAGCGGGAGACGAAGCAGTTTATCTCGAGGACACATCACTTCCCCGCTACACACAGAGTGGACTCCAGATACTCGGCCTCGTCACCGCAGTCCACGGGACAGCCATTTCTAAGGAGCCTGCGATGGTTCAACAGGCTCTGGGGGGGGGAGCATAAGGAAAAATTGCGCGAAGCCATGGACACGGAGCTGAAGGCACCGAAAGAACGTAATACCTGGAAAGTCGTCCCCATCGGCGTAGCACGGAACAAGACAATAATCACCAGAAAATGGGTCTTCCGCGTGAAGACGGAGTCAGATGGCACCATCGACAAATTTAAAGCGCGTTGGGTCGTACGCGGTTTCGACCAAGAACACGGGTGAGACTTCAATGCGACATTCGCCCCGGTCAGCCGACACACTTCATTGTGAATCCTCCTCGCTTCAAAGAAGCTGCGGC